GCTGACATGCAGCCTTTATCTTGACTTGCACTTTGATTTTGATCCTTCTGTCCCAGATTTTCCTGGCTGTTTCTGCCCCTTTCCTGTGCTTTCCTGCCAGAAAATGGCGCTCTGGACCAGCTCTGTTTGGCTGGACACTTACCCACAAAGGGACATAACTTTGGGTGTTTTATTGGGAAACTGTTAGTGTTTCTTTTCTCTGAATGCACACTAACCTTACTAAAGTCCTTTCACACTAAGGATATGCTTAGTGGCAGAACTAAGCAGAACTCTTTTAGAGGTTTGGGCATCCAGGGGTACCCCTCAGTCTGCTCACCATCAACATAATGGTCTCATTTCTAAGGATATGTGCCATAGCTCCATTTAATTCATTCTGCTATGGTGTCATGCCTTAACATAGTTTTTCCATTTAATGATTTTATTCCATTCAATTGAAAAATAGAGAGAGGGAGTTTATCCTGAATAGGCTTGATATAGCCAAGTGAGGCTTTAAAGGCTTCGGGGTTTTCCCCTCTATATACTCCAATTTTGGAGTGCTCGGTATGTGGGAGCCCCTCCTCTGGCCTCTGCATGGGAACACTGAAATACTTGAGAGGGCCAATGAGAAGACCACATGAAAACCCACGCAGGTGACCCCAAGAACTGTGTGCTCCACTGCTGACAGCTAGCAGGAAAGAGGGACCTCAGATCTATGTCTATTAGGAGCTCAACTCTAGCAGCAACCATGGGGCTAAGAGGAGGACCCTAAGACTCAGATGAGATTGCATCCCTGGCTGAGAAAGTGATTTCAGTTCCTAACACCATGCCAGATTGCTGATGAGCAGAAACAGGAAAATAATATAAATGTGGGGTTTTTAAAGCTTACATGCACATTAACTTACCACCCAGCAACAAACTGAATCCAGTCCCTCTCAGGGCTCTCACCTGCACACTGTAGGAGGCCATGAGGACAGCAAAGCTGCTGAGGTGGGTGCACTGGCAGGTGGTACCGGTGTCTCTGTCACTCACCATCCTGCAGCCTTTGGTGGCCCAGTGGCCACCACATCCACTCTGATCACGCTCCCAGTAGACACAAAGTATCTCCTGCCCTGACTCAGGAGTCACTGACTGCAGGAACAGAGTATAGATATGAGTTGGTTTTCTGGTGCTCTGAAATGTCAACTCAAAGCTGGTTTGCAAAGGGTTTTTCTAAGGAGTGATTCTTGCATGGAGAAGCCCCTTCACACCCTAAGGCTGAAGTGGGCAGCCAAGTTGTGGCCAAGGAAAGTCTCCTCCATAGACACATCCCACCCATCAGGACTCACATTCTTGAAGACAAAGGTGACAGGGGAGTGGAGGTTTTGGGTGGCATTGCTGCTCATAAAGGCAGAGATGACATCTGAGAGCAGGACGGAGGAGACATTTTGTAGAAAATGCTTGTGTGTCTCATGCAGAACAGCCTGCTTCTCAGTCTCCAGGGCCAGAGGGGCCTCCGTCAGCAACTTGCCCATCCCTGGGATGGAGACAAGGCCCAACACAGCAGGACCTGCAGGACAAACCTAAGACTGATGTTGGGGTCCTCAAGAGGATCTCTTATATTCACAAGGATTCTTTCTTCACCATCGCCCACAACTTCCCTTTAAACTTTAGTCTGTGTTTGTCACATATTTGTAACAGAGGGTATTTGTGCACTGTGAGGCTTCAGTGACCTCCCCCAACCTCAGCCATTACCTGAGGAGCCAGATTCTGACTCTACGTCCCATGTCAGCATCATCTGCACCTGATTCTGAGTCAGCGTGACATTCCTGTCTCCTTGCTGCTGTACCTCCATGGACAGTCCTAGGAGTGTGGAAATTATACTATGGGTTATATTATAATATGATATATAGTGCCATTATATTATTTTATGTGTTTATAATGTATTATGTCTTATATACCAAATATTAGATGTGCAAAATGATACCATTATAATATATTACACATAATACCTGGTATATACACAATAGTGGAATATGATAAGGTACATATTAAATAGTACAATGACATATATGGCATTTGAAATCGCAAAGGATTATAAGAGAAACTATGAGCAATTTTCAGCTAGTTAGCTAACTAGATCAAATGGATAAATTCTTATATATACAAAAACTTTAAAAATGGATTTAAAAAGAAATCAGTAAGTCTGAGCAATAAAGATATTGAATTAGTTATCAAAAATTTCGAAAAGGAAAAACCCAGAACAGATGGATTCACTGGTGAATTTTAAAAACCAATTCAGGATAAAATAATTATAATGATAATTCTTTATAATTTTTCAAAAAATAGAGGAAAGAATACAGCCTAAATAATTCTGTGATATGATCATTTCCTGGTAACAAAACCAAATAAAGACATCACAAGAGAAGAGGCTAGAATAAAAAGGCTAACACATCTTTTGCTTCTGCTGCATTGTTCAATGATTTCATGATTTGTGATATCCCAGTCCAAAAGTATATTTATTGATATGTCTGAATATATGCACATATTCCTATCTATAAACTGAAGTTGTAACAGAAAATGAAAAATAGAGAATAATATCTCCTAAGACCACAGATGAAAAATCTTCAACTAAGTATTAGTCCAGGGCCAATGCCAAACACAACCAAAATGCCTAAACAATGTTCATTTTCATTGTCTCTCAATATGTTTTAATTGATTTTATTTCCACACTAACCCAATAGTCATTGAGTTGTCACTGAGTACACAACATAAGACAGCTTTAAGGCTTCATAATAGTTTGGTACCATTTTGATCTGAAAAGGTAATGATTTCAGTCTCCATGAAGTTATTTACTCTTGCTTGGTCATCCAACATACTGTCCAAGACTATTTCTTGTGCCCCTAAGAATCTGTGCTCAGCATTTTTGTGGTGTGGTGACCTATAAGTTTCTAGTAGGCCCATCTGGTTAATTCCACATTTAAGGTATTGTTCCTTATTGATCTGTCTGGTTGACCCTTTCATTGACACCAATGTAGTGTTGTATTTTCTTACCAGTATTGTGTGATGGCCAACATTTGAAATGATTTCAGGTCCCTCCCAGGACTCACAGGGATCTTCCATAGCCAACTGCAGTTGAGTCATTTCCAGGTCCTGCCACAGGTTCCCTGGGTTCTGTGAGGACCTACCAGAATGGGACTGTTTCCAAATTCAATAGCAGGGTTCCCTGTGGTCTGCAAGGACCTACCACAGCATGACTGCTTCCAGAACCCACTCCAGGGCTTGCTTCCAATGGGGCTTCTACAAGATTTGCTGGCATTTATATAAGCCAACCCATATGAGGTTGCTTCAACCCCATTTCCAGGATTCTGGTGTCTTCGGGGGTCTGCCACCAGTAGTGCTGCTTCCAGGTCTCATTCCTGGGTTCACTGGGATCTCTGGAGGCCTACTGACCTGGGGATGCTTCAAGGTCTCATTCCAGGGATCATTGGGACCTACCTTATTTTTTTTTAAAGAATCATTTATTTATGCACACAGAACTGGGGTACAGGACAGAGGTGCAGGGACAGTGAGAGGATTCACCAGAGACAGAGTGGGAACAGAACAGACAGGTCAAGGAAGGCACACTGCTGAGGAGAGCAGCAGGGCGAGTCAGGAGAGGTCTGCTGCACCATGTGGGTCACCCCTGGGACTGGGAATAAAACTCGCACTGAAGCTGCAGCTAGCTTCTCAGTGCGGCGCTTTATCCGCTTGCACCACCAAAGAGGGCGGGGGCCTACCTTATTTGGGCCTATATCAGCCCTGTAACCAGGTGGCTGAAGCCAAGGACTGTTGCAGGTTGTGCCCTTCCCTGCAGGATTTGCAGGTAAAGGAAAATATCCTCAAAACAAATGCTAAACAGAATCACATTTTGAGGAGGGAACATCATTGGAGAGGAAATAGAAGGCAGAAGTACAAAATAGAGGGAAAGGGTCCCTTGTCTAGTGCTGTGCTAGAGCATCCTGACACTCTGGGAGGGTCTCTTGTTGATTCTTCTGTTGTGTTTGTGAGATGGAACCTGGCCTGGAGTCTGGCTGCTGTGTGCTCCAGGTTGTCAGAGTCAGGATAGCACCATCTTAGACATGTGGCCTGTGTTTGGGAGAAGAGCTGCACCTCCTCAGTGACCGGAAGGCACCATCATAATGGTCTTTGTGCAGGACAGTACTGGACATGACTTTGGGTAAAGGAAACAGACATTATTGGCCTCAGTAACCCTTGATTTTCCTGTTTGATAAATAAATCCCTTTGCTGTTGTTTCCTGAGTCTGAGAGTCTTGCAATTTTATGTGCAAGTGAAGAACCTACACAGCATTTGGTAAAGAATTTGGGCAACAGAGCCTTGGCCACTTTAGTGTCCCTTGCCACTCCATATAATTTCTATTTTGATGCATGAGGGGTCCCCAAGACTGCTGGAGCTCATTTTTCCTACCAGGCTACCCATTTGGTCTGCTTCACTGTCCACTGAGGCCCCTTTCTCAAATCATTGTTACTAATGTGTGCTGAAATCACACATTAGTTATTGGCTTTGTTTTTCTACAATCAAGCTATCAGTATACAGAGAAGGTGATCCCAATGTTTTCGCTCTGCCACCATCTTGCCACTCTCAGAAATTACAAATTTGGGTGGAATTCATCACTAAGATGCTATTAGCTCGTTCACAGAGTACTGAACGGGCCACACAGTCTTCCAAGTTTGGGTGACACTGAAGCTCCATGTTTTCAGGAGAAGCAAGCATAATAGTGTAGCCAGATCTTCACACACACCCCCAGCCTGTAGTTTAAACTTTTTTTTAGAAAAGTAGAATTAAGTAGAATTATAACTAAGCACTCTGTTCTCCCTTCTCCCTCAAACCCTCCTTTGATTGTAATCCTGGAAACCTTGAGAACTAATAGGGTTACACCACTAATAAAATTCTCTATGTCCTTCCATGACCGATAATACCAGTGCAAGTATCTCCTGGTCTTTAGGGACTGTTAATGTAAAGCAACACTCTCTGCTAAAGATAAATAGTGTAACTCATGAGTCTATAGTGCTTGGGGACTCTGGTTCCCTCACGCCCTTCACTTTCCAAACCTCCTCACATTCCTTTCCCAGATAAATAATCATCAACATCTCTGCATTTGGAAAACTAACTTTTTTTAGATAACCCTGTTAACTCTCTTGGTAGCCAGCTCATATATTATAAACGATGTTGTGAAAAGACATTCGTATGATGATAGTTTGGCTTTCTATGGAATAAGTAAAAGACCCATTTGCTCACAAAATGTTAATTCCCCCACCGACTCACTCCTCAGAGCTCCAGAGTCTACTTAGGGGAAGTTGCCACCAGTAGTAAATACCTTATGACTGGACCTAAAAGAAGAATCTAGCCATGCAGATATTGTGTTCTAATTGAAAGCAGATCCAAAAACAAGGGATTTCAGGCCCATGTTGATTCACTGCCCCGGAGACCGTACTGAAATGAAACCCCCAACAGTTCCCTCTGCTCACCATCCATGAAAAACAAAACAGAACTTCAAGACTAGAACCACCAGACCACCTATTAGGAAAACATCAAATCTGGGCCCTCCCTGGTGGTGCAGTGGGTTAAAGCACAGCACTGAGAATCTAAAGCCACTTCCCCATGAGTTCGATTCCTGCCTGTCCCAGAGGTGACCACATGGCATGGCAGACCACTCCTGACCAGACTGCTGCTCCCCTCAGCAGTGTACTTCATCGATCTGCCTGTTCTGTTCTCAACTCTGTCTCTGGTGAAGCCTCTCACCACCCCTGAGCCTCTGGTTTGTACCCCAGTTCTGTATGCACAAATTAATTAATCTTTAAAAAAAAATCAAATGTGAAAAAAAAATAGCTAAAGTAAAGCTCTATGTGTGAATGAATGACCAAGATAAAATTTCAGAATGCATTCTAGTGACACCAAAACTAGAGGTATAATCGACAGTGGTTTTTAAATAACTATTATGAAAAAAATGACACTCTAACATAATGAAACACTAATTAAATAAAAAAGGAAATATATTGTTCACTGAAGATATTTAGGCTGTAAAATAAAATTCCCAACAGAAATGTGGCAAGTGACAACTTAATGCATGAAATTAAAACTTCCATGGAAATTATAACAAGCAGGCTAAATCTTGAAGAGGGGTTAATCACTAAATTTGAAGATCAAAATGTCTGTAATGGCTTAGTTAGTAAGGGGAAAATAAGAATCATGAGAAACGAAGAAGCTCTACAAAGTTATCATATTCCACATAAAGATATTGAGAAATATCTTTATGATATTTACTATGGAAAAAGAGAAGGAAAAAGGTATCAAGAGCCTGTTCAAATAAATAATAGCTACTAATTTCCTATACCTAAGGAAATAACAACCCAGAGAAGGCCAGGAAGCTGACAAAACACAAAACTTCTAAAAGAAAGCTAAAAACTACATCAAGATACATCATTGTTAAATTATCCAAACTCAATGATAAGGGAAAAAGTGCCAAAAGAAAATATATAATATATAAAGTCACTCAATCACACTATCAAATTTCTCAACAGAAGGATGACATATTCAAAATTTTAAAAGAGAAAACAATCAGAAAACTACACTTTACCTGAAAAAGTATCATTTAAATGTTATGGAGAAGTTTTCCTTGATAACAAAATTTAATAGAGTATACTAGCAACAACCTAACCTACAAGAAGTGTGGATAGCAGTGCTACATAAAAAGAAAAAGGCAAGTTTCAATGAAAATTGAAATAATAGCAAGCATCTTTTCTGGCCACAATGGTATGAAGTTAAAAATCAATCTTACAAATAGAGCCTAAAATAAACAAATAGGTGAAGATTAAATGCAATAGAATAACTCTTGGGTGATTGAAAAAATTAAGCAAGAAAATTTTTTAATTATTTAAAGATCAATGGAAGTAAAAATACAAGCTATCAGAACTTATGGAATACAAGAAAAAGCAGTATTAAGAGGAACAGTCATAGTAATTGCCTCAATAAACAAGAATACCCTTGGTTTCCAATATGCAAGATGTTGGCAGAATGAAGATGCTGAACATCCTACCTCCAGGTTCACACAATACAGATAAGCCTCCAAATGGATTATAGGCACATGTATTATAAGATTGAATCAAATGAGGGCACCCTGGACTTCCTAGATCAAAGATAGTTAAGGAAAACTCAGCAATTTGGGAGTTCTGAGTGGGGAGGCTCTGATCTGGGAGTGTAGAAACAGCTTGGAAACGCCACAACAGGGATATTTGTCACTCTTATAACCACTCCCCACCCTCACCTTCAAAAGCAAGTTACAGCACCCAGGAGATAAAAGGAGACTGACTGTTTGGCAGCTGGCTTGGCAGCTGGCATGAGAACTTGATTGGCTGCAGTCTTGGTGGCTGGATTGATGGCTACAGCTATGGGATACCAAAAAACCATGGGACATGGAAGGCTACAAAGATCAACCTTTGGGCAAGAGGGGGAGCAGTGCTGTTACAGCATGGGGCTGACTGGCTGGCAGGAAGACTAGCTGGTAGCCTTCCTTTTGGAGCTCCTCTCCCCCCTCTCTCAGAGACTTGTGTGAATAAGCCCAGTTCTGAAAACTAGCTGGGAGAAGACTCTGGTGCCACCTAGTGACCACAGCAAAATCACCAGCCACACTCATCTGACCAGGTGGATTACCAAAGAGAGAGCCATCAGGAGGAGACTTTTAGGGACAGACCTTACACCTGACACCTCTAAGATATCATGAGCCCCTGGGTGGGAAAAAACCTCAGGAGCTCCTTTACTTGCCCAACTACCTCAGAGACTAAAAAAGAAACTGAAATGAAACTACAGATTCTGGGAAGGCTCCTCTATGCAGTCCTAGTGTGTTCCGCAGAAGACCAGCCTAAAACCACAAAGACTCGCTAATTGGAAGACATCAGATGTCTGAGAAGCAATTCTCCCCTACCTATAGAAGTGTCTGTTGCTTGTATGTTTGCTTCTTTTGTACCTGTATTGGTCGACTGGTAGATTTCTATAACTTCTCTTCATTTTTTACCCATTTTCTGCCTTCTGTAGCTTTCTCCTTCCCCTTCAAAATTATTATTAATGCTGTCTCTTTCTGTTATCTCACCTCCATTTCTTCCTTCTTCTCCCTCAACCCACATTTAACTAGCACCTATTATATGGTATATTATAGGTGGTATATTATTATACCACCTCCCTTCCTATTATATTTCCATGTCATCCTCCCCTTTCCTTAAACCCTCCTCTCACACCCTATTCTCTTTTAACTCCATTATTTTGCCAGACATGCCTAGAAGAATCGAGAATTTCAACAGAGAAAGGCAACCCATCTAGGGACTTCTTGCAGGCACCTCCCAGAGACTAATACTCAAGGTATTACTGGAAGATGCAGAACCCGCAAGAAACCACTGGCTATTAGAAGAAAATATCGGTGAAACACTACATGATATACATTTCAGTAACATTTTAAAAATACATCACCCAAAGAAAGGATGGTGAAAGAAAGCTTAAACACGTGAGACTACATCAAATTTAACAGTTTCTGTACAGGAAAAGAGACCCTACATAAAACAAACAGACATTCCACTGAGTGGGAGTCTATTTTTGCACATAATACGAATGATAAAGGCCTGGCCACAAAGATATACAAAGAGCTAACTAAACTCAAAACTAATAAATTGAAAAATCCCATCAAAAAATTGGCAGAAGAGCTCAAGAGACACATATCCAAAGAGTAAATGGAGATGGCCAACAGGCTATGAAAAAATGTTCAACACCACTTGTAATAAGAGAAATGCAAAGAAAAACCACAATGAGACCACTTCATACCACATATTAAAATAACTAGTAACAATAAGTATTGCAAAGGTATGGAGAAAAAGGTCCCAGCTACACTGCTGGTGGGACTACAAACTGGTGCAACCACTTGAAAATCTGTGTGGACATTCCTGAAACAGCTAAATGGAGCTTCCATATGACTCAGCAATTCCACTCCTAGGCATCTACCCAAAGGACACAAAAACAGAAATCCAAAAGTAGTTCAAAAGACACCTATGTTTATTGCTGCCTTATTTACAATAGGGAAGATGTGGAATCAACCCAAATGCCCAAAAATAGATGACTGGATCAATAGGTTGTGGTGTATATACACAATGGAATTTCACTCTGCAATTAAAAACATATAAACTCATGCCATTTGCAGCAACTTGAATGGAACTGAAAAAGATCATGCTTAGTGAAGTAAGCCAAAAGAAAAAGAAAAAAGATTGGATAGTTTCACTAATATAAGGAGTGTAAGGGATAAGGGATATATAGTGTTATTGTACTAAAATAAAAAATAACATCAAATAACAACTATAAACCAGAGACATTCTATGGGGGAGGAGAGGGAAACAAGATCAAAACTGGGCTATGGTTCTGACACATGGGTGAAGTGATGGTGGGAAGTCCACAGGGATAACAACTGAGATGGAAAAAAAGTACAAAATGAAGAATAATTTAAAAAATATATATTTATAAAATAAAAAATAATAAAGCAAAAAAAGAAGGAAAAAAGAATAAAAATCAAAGTAAACTAAAACAGAAATCAAAGAGATGATTAATACTTAATCAAACTGATAATAAAATTGTAAGCTATACTCACTAAGAAAAAGAAGGAATGCAGCCCTAAGAGAAAAAGTGATAATAGATACTGTGGAAATGCAAAGATTTAAGAGACTACTATGAACAAGTATACACAAAAACAGGACAAAACTTTAGAATCACCCAAACTTCCAAGACTAAACAAGGATGAGACAAAATCCTCTTCCAGTGGCATATAATAATTCTTGTGGCATATGAACAGATCAATCACAAATATAGCAATTAACAAAAAAAGAAGTAAAGATATCCCTAAGGAAAAAATCAGACACCTAAGTCAGAATCAGACACCTTCACTAGTGATTTCCTCCAAACTATCAAAGACAATCTAATACCTATCTTTCTCAAACTCTTCAAAAATATTGAAGAGAGAGAAAATTCCCAAAAACATTTCAGGGCACCAACATTACCCTGATCCCAAAATGAGAAAGTGACTGCACATACAAGAAAGAGAAAACTATAGAAAAATATATCCAATAATCTTACATGCAAAAATCCTCAACATATCTTAGGAAACTGATCCCTACAAATATTAAGAGAATCATATTTTATGACCACAGATGCGAGAATGGTTCATAAGCATATACAAGTTAATTTTATTCACCACAGCAACAAAAGGCAAGATGAAAATAACTTTATCATGCCAATACATGCAGGTAAAGCATTTGACAAGATTCAATATCCATTTGAATAAAATCTCTCACTATTAGGAATAAAAGAAACATGTCTCAATATAATAAAGTCAATATATGACACAACTACAGCAAACATAGCAAATGATGAAAACATTTCCCCTAAGAACAGAATGAGACAATGATGTACACTCTCATCACTACTGTTTAACCTAATATGAAAAGTCTTGAGCAATTTGGTAAGAAATGAAAAAGGAATACAAATTAGAAAAGAAGATATAAAACTATCACTATTTTCCGAATACATGATATTATACAAAGAAAACCCAAGACTACCCCCAAAAAATATTGCTTAAAAAAAGCTAAATGAATAAAGTGTCAGGATGCAAAATCAATACACAAAAATCTGTTGTATATGTAAATAATGAGTTAAAGGAAAGAGAAATTAAGAAGGTAAAATACGAAAAAAAACCTGAAATATTTGGAAGTAAGTTAACTAAAGAGGTGAAGAACCTATACAATGAAAACTATGAAACACTGTTCATAGGAATTTTTAAAGCCCAAGGGAAGGAAAGATATCCATGCCAGTGTTCATGGATTTGTAGAATAAATTTAAATGCCTCTGTTACCTAAATCAATTCAGATTCAATGTAGTATCTATGGAAAGCCCAATGATATTTTTCGAGGAACAAGAACAAATATAAAATTTCCATACAACCACAAAATAGCTTAAATAACAAAATTAATCTTGAGAGAAAAGAAGAGAAGTATCACACTCCCTGGATTGAAATCATACGATAAAGTCACAGTAATATAAGCAGTAATGTATTGGAACAAAGCAGAAATAAAATACCAATAGTATAGAAAAGAAAGCCCAAAAATAAACCCACATAGATATGATCAGTGACAAAAAAGCCAAGACTATATTTGAGAAAGGAAAGCCCTTCCACAAGTAGTAATGGGAAAGTTGGCCAGAAACATGCAAAAAAAAAAAAAAAGGAAAGAAATTAGATCCCTACTTAACTCTATTAGTAAAAATTAATTCAAATGACTTAATTATAAAAAACACAGAAGAAACAAAGGCAATATACTCCTGGACATCAAACTCAGAGATGATATTAAGGAAAGGAAATGAAGGACTGGCAAAGGAAATAAAAAATAAATAGGACTTATTAAAAATCTTTTC